GCAAAAGGTGTATTAGTATAAGATGATATCAAAAAATGTATGGTATGTAATTTAAATTTCCTCTGATCTGATTTGTGACATTTATTGTCTTCCTCTATTGAAGTGAAAGAGAGCATAAACATATTTTGAGATATCAGCAAATTTCATAACAGCAGGAGGGCCATTTAGATCAGCAATACCATTACGATTACGTGCATGAGAATCAAACACATAAATACCACCTGTGGTCTTTGTTAAAGCCATGATGTAGCTTTYTAATATTATAAATACAAAGTTATTAATGCCAGACTAATCACGCGTGATAATTCCTTTGTAATATTGGTTGTATTTTATCAACCATAATGGTTGTCATTTGTTTTGATTTGTGCCTCACTGGGCTCTACATACCACAAAAGTAGATCAGAACTTGTTACCAAAATAGGAAATGTTGCTTTTATTTAATAACCATGAATCTTTCATCAAATATTAGACATTATCATATAAATATCCATAAAATACTTATATTTCTCCTTTTCGAAAAACTGATATTTTCACATGTGAAAATAACATGTTATTTTCACATGTAAAAATATCGTTACCTTCCGTATTTAAGCTATTAGTTAGTTATAATGATAAAAAGCTTATTAAGTTGATTTTATGGATAAATATATAATAAACAGAATATTACATGAGCGCTTGGAGATACGAAATCTATCTTCTCGTGTTGAAAATCTCTGACTCGTTCGCTGCACTCACTCGTGAGAGATCTTTTCAACACTCGAAGATAAATTTCGTATCTCCGTGCGCCCATGTAATATCCTCTAATAATAGAAGTTTATAATAGTTAATTTTGTTTTGAAATAGCGTTAAATAATTCAAAGTTATAAGGAAATATTAAAATGAAGAAAAAAACAAATTCTGTGTGTTTCCCTCGTTTTATTTTCTTACAAAATATCAAAGTTTWAAAAAAATCTGTGGCGCAGATTTTGAGAAAATAATGCGAGCATTTCATAAAGCCTGGTTCACATATGATCGCAGACGATCGAGTGCGATTATATGTCAACAGAATTCTGCGATCGTGAGATTGGAAGGTTTCCCACAATGCTCAGTTTTCTATAAAACACGTGTATATTTTTCATTTTCACAAGCGAAAAAGCATTCCTTTTTAGTTTTTTTCAGATATAACTGGTTCAAAACTTATCACCACAC